TTAAAAGGTAAACGTCCATATCCTAACTATAGATTCCGCTGCGTTAGGATTTATTTCGATAAAGTTCAATACTGTGCATGTTGTTTGACGTTCCTAACAGAACCTAACAGATCGCCTCTGTAAGGTCTTACAACGACATACATATCGAAAGTCTTCGGCCATTGCCCCGGTCTTACATACGATATGGCCTCCGTACAGGACTTAAGGAGACTGCATATCATTAGGAACCGTCGAAGGGCATAAAACTCACATCGACGGGGACTACCGTACTGACGGCCGCATTAGCTCACATCGATAGGCTACCAGGTTCACATATATATACAATAATCATACCAATCTCAACATACATAAACACATATGTCATAGAAATTTTAAATAAAACCCACCTGGTATCCGGAGAAAAAGAAGTCACATAAATCCGGGGAAAAAGTAGGCTGAGAACACAGCTCGTCAAACACCTACATTTTACAAAATTGTCCTATAAATGACTATCCAACACACGAACACTTATAACTACACTCATTCAATACAACTCAGCCATATAGTTCATAAAAGCATGCATGCAAAACGAACTCATTATTTCTGAACACATAACACGAGTTTTTTCAAAACTTAACCGAGCAGCGTTTTTAAAATCGACCTAACTATCAACACATAATTCATATGAACGTGATTCAAGTTGCAGTAGAACCCTAAGACATTCTTCTACAATTCTTATGAACAACTTAAAATAAAAAGAGGTCATTATCGACATGGTAAATCAACAAAAATTTAATATGAGTGTGCAATCAAAATATTCAAACAAGGTGGCAGCATTTTTAGGATAACTCGAGCTATATTCATGCTAAGAATATGAATTTGGTACTCATAGAAAGATAGGAAATAAAGCTACATAATTTGTGAAGACAAATTTAACAAATTCGGACCTCGACATATAAATAATTCAACAACAACACAAAATATAGCTGCAGTCCAGAAATGAAAATGAACAACTCATATAGTCTCAGTATTTCCATGATAACATGAGCTACAAGCATGCTATTCAGGTGAATCCAAAACAAAAGAGTAGCTAACACATATATACATAACTTTTATGTAGATCACTTAAGCCAACAATAACTTTAAAACCGAGTTTAAGCATAAAATACCTAGGTCAAGAAATCTGCAAGAATAACCATTTATCAACTTACAACACTTCATTTAAACAACAATAACTCAAGTTATAGAACTCCAAATCATACAAACTCAAAATTTGCAGAAACTACACAAGAAAAGCTACAAATTTCATGAAGGAAATGTTTACATATAATCACGTTAAAGATATCATTTTAGAGCATACATCCCCTGCATATACACAACCACTGCTTAAAAATTCTGGGCATAAATCTAACTTAGAAAAAATCATATAAAATCAACTAAAACTCCAAATTGCAAGATTTCAACTCTTAATGAAAGATTATAACATGTACTACATGTTTCATGAAGATCACATTTTCATATAACTACATTTGGATCATCAAAATCAGCCTAACATCATAATCACCAAGCCTGCCCGAATTTATACAAACATCATGTGTGTTCAACTTATACAATTCATAACAAATTCAAATCAACTCCAAATGACTTGATCTAGAAACTAAAAGATAGCTAATTCGATTATCTACAACTTTGCTGAAAATCACATTTTCGTTTGAGCACATTAAAACACCATAAACAGATCAGACATGAAATAAGTACATGCTGCCGAGTTTTGTTAAAAACTGCTTGTGCGACAATATTATAAAAGTCATAACTTATTCGTTTTAATTCGAAATCACATGATTCTAGGGCTCACTTAAAGACAACAGAATAAGCTACATATCATATGCAGACTAGTTTTTTTATAAAATGAGCATTTCAGGGGTATTTCAGCAGTGCAACAGAGAACATAAATCATGCTCTTCATAAATTCTCAAAGAATTACGACAAATTTTATCTCCATATCATAATCCCACCATTTAATACTCCAACCATGATTGACGGCAACACTAACAACATTATTAATCATATAAACGAAAGAGGGTTCCACCATTTAACAAATATATCAAGCATTTATGACAAGACGACATAGAATATCACATACGATCACACCTACATCAATCATATGGAACCTCTCGAAACAACACATATATAAAATCGAAAATATAAATAGCCATCGAGTGTTACCAAACACCCCAGGGGCAATGC